TAAAAATAGATCTTATAACTCACTCAATATTAGTTTTTCCTAGTTCTTTTCTCTAAGCCCTGCATACAACAGAACATGCAAAAAAACATAGGTGGGAATACAGAGACACGATTTTACCCTGGACAAGCTCAGTAGGCATGTGGTTAAACCTTGTGAAGCCAGAAGGCTGTAGTTCAAGTGCACTGAAGTAGGAACTTTTATTTATTATCTACATGGTTTTCTTCTCAGAACTAACAGCCTGTCTGTACCTACCTCTGGATTCAAGGGACCATATTTTACAAGTAGTGCTGGAATTCAGAAATTGTCCTTAGATTTTTCTCTTGGGATTTAACTCTGCTACAGAAACAGTGATGAACTACTCCATTCTCTCTCTGCCTTTCCACCCAAATCTTCTTTCCCTTTCCCCTTCTTGACTCTATCATCTCTCATTTATGGTGTTTTATAGGTCCACTACCTACAATTGTAATGTGACCATGCAATGGGTTTAAACAGCTTTTGGGATTGCAGAAGAGGAACAGATTGTTAACATGAGTCCCAGGATATAGGCATGGGGTTAAAAGCTGAAGAAAAACCACTCTATTTCTCTCTCATTTCCTCGCTCCTATGTTGTGCAAATAATGAACATGAACCATATTTTTCCATGTCTTACATTTTTTTTAATCTTCTAATAGATAACAACAAGGTTAGAAGTAAGTAATGAGTTTGTAGATTATTGCAATAATCCTGCTAATGGGTAATGGTGGTCACTTGCCAGAGTATTTGTAATGAGCGTGGAAGAAAGTATTTGGAGTTTGGGTTTATTTTCAAGGAAAAAATAGATGTTTTGCAAGAGTGAACAAAAGATAGGAGAAGAAGAGAAGTCAGTGGGACGCCATGAATCAAGGTGGAGAACGGTGCAGCCAAGCTGCTGTTGGAGAATGGGGAGCTGCTAGGGAGCATCTATCAACACAGTAAGTTGGAAATGTCTCCTGAGCAGAGCTTTCATTTCGGTTGAAGCTCAGGCTAAAGCTGTGCATTGAGGAATCGTGCACCTAGCTGACACTTAAACCGCAGGATTAAACCAGCTCACTTAGGAAAATCAATGTATCCAAAAGGCCGAAGTTCCAAGGAAGGAGTCCCGGAAAATGTTGGCACTAGAAGATGAATGGATGAGTAAGGGATTATGGTAAACTATATATTCAAGGTATGATGTGTCCTTGCTTTAATTATATTTAAATTCACTTTTTCACCATGTGAAAAGCATAAGTATATACTTACATTCACTTTTTCTCAGTAAAAATAATATGAAACCAATTTCAATTTCTATTATCCATGATTTGTTTATTCATTCTATAAATTGTTTTGTCCAAGGAAGTACTTACTCATTCTCCTGGTTTCATCTAATTAATATTTGGTACAAGTGTTTAAAGTCAGCTTAAATATCAGACTACTATGAAATAGAATTTATTTATATTCTTTTTATCTAGATAATTAAATTATATTCATAACTTTCCATTTTAGAAACTATACCTGTCAAAATCCATGACATGTTTAAAGAGAAAGCACCAAATAGATAGATGAATTTATGTATACTTAAAATCATTTTGTGGGTGATGGGATGTCCCCTGTGCCATTCTGTGTCATCCTACAGACACCAGCACCAGCTTTCAAAAATCATGGAAAATGAATTTTTTAGTCTTACTAAGTAAAATAAATGTTCATCATTAAATGAGAACACCAGAGAAACCAATGCCTGCTAAATAACTACTTCAGAAGGGGCCTGACAGCCGCAAGAGCCAGGAGCTAAGGTCTCCTCTCAGGCTTTGACTGAACAATGACAGGGGAGAAGTACTTGGGAGGGAAAAGATGGAAGCCTAGTGGGAGATGGTAGAAAAGGAATTGAGGAGAGAAGCAAAGCAGCTTAACCAGAATGTAAAGGACTGGAAGAGCAGCCTTGTAAAAGATCAAAGAACTTCAGAGAAGATTATGTAGGGCTTTGGCCAAAGTCACTGTGAAGTGCGTTCCAGGATTTAGACAGGATCTGAGTCAAATCCATAGGAGTAAGTGTCTCTAAAGATGCTCAGTTGTTCACTTGCATCAACGTCTCTTGAGAATGTATTACAAATGTAGAGCCTACTGAAGCAGAGTCTCCTGACATTGCAAAGAAAATCTCTTCATCTTTTTAGAACTAAGCACTCAAGCCCTGTGCTCGTTCCTCCGTGTACCTTATGCTTTCTAAAATTTGAGCACCACTCATATAGGTCATAAGAAAAAAAAGCATATGAGAAAGAAGACTTGGAAATGTATATGTTGGAATCAAGTGGAGAAGTCTAAGATAATTTGCAGAGCAAGGCAAATGCAAAATATAAAGATGTGGCTAATATTTGCAAATAGTCTAAGTGAACTGTCAGTAAAGAATAATTCAAGCAAAGAAGGAAGACAGTAGAGGCAGCCATCTAAAGGAAGGAGCAGGAATGAGGATATGAATTGCCAGAAATGATATACTCAGAAAGAGAAACGTGTAAATGGAAGCCCTGAGAAAAACATCTCTAAACTTTCTAAAGTCTAAATCATGGGGGAGCCTTTCAGTACCTATAAAATCAAGAAGCAAACCTTAGTAGCAGGACTGCCACACAGTGTGAGGGTGTAGCTAGCTCCCACACACTGTGTTCTGGGTCTGGTCTGCAGTGAGTCGGTTCTCTGCAGCCAAGGCTGTGATATCAAACAACACTCTTATCGTCATGACACATCAAAACCTTTAGGTAACTGTTTGCTTTGAAAAAGTAATGTGGGTTTTTTGATTTATTAACGGCTCGTGGATTGAACTTTGTAGGATCTTTACCAATGAACATAGCTCACGATTTTTCTTCTGCAGGCCTGGGTCTCAACTGCACAGGGAGCAGAGAGAGATGTTTCCACTCGGAACTATTGCTTCTTTTTTGTTTGTTTTTCCTCTTCTCAATTGGTATTTCTCACTTACCTTAATTTGCATTAAAATATATAGTAAGTGGTTGAGGTTGTTTTAACTTCTGATATCCACAAGCCTATAAGTTATAGCTGAGTGAATCCTTCCTGTCATAGACTAACAATGCACTACTCAGCCTTCGTAAGCTTGTGACTCTTCTTGCTTTCTTGTGCTATGTTACGAGTAACTCAAACATACAGGAACAATTTTTATTATTTTACAAGAATTAGATACATAAAATATGAAGAATACACATTATATATGTATAAAATAACAGTGTCTTTAAGGATCCAGGTAATTCCCTTGAAGATGCAAGAAAGAATAAGAGAAAATGTATTTTAGATATTATATATTATATGTTCCTAATGGTTTATACTTTTCCAAAATGAAAATGAAATTATGGGAATTTAAATTTACAAATACTCAAATCAGGCTTCAAAAAAACTGTTTTGACTGTTGGGTGTAATGGTATGTAAGAAAGTTTTCATCAACCCTGTGACCGTGCCAGCTGTGTTTCCACTTCCTGGCCTCTGCCTCCTGCGTGCTGTCTTGGCCCTTTCCCTCCTGGAATCCATAACTTGCTTTATCATCTCAACACTGTGCTCCACAGACACCTTTCTCTCACTCTCACCAAGTTCTTGATCAGTTCTTACATGATGATGAAAAAACCATTGGTTCATGATTATTGATCAACATTGATTTTCTTAACAGGGTAGATTTAAGAACAGTAAAGTGAACATAAATGACACACTTTTGTTTTTTTTAATATTTAAAATTTTTTATTATTTTTATTTTATGTGTATTGCCTTCATGTATGTAGGCACACCCATATCCAGAGGGCATCAGATCTCCTGGAACTGGAGTTTCAGACAGTTGTCAGATGCCATGTGGGAGCTGGGAACGGAAATCAGGTCCTCTGCAAGAGCAGCCAGTGCTCTTAACCTCTGAGCTATCTTTCCAGCCTCTTGTTTTTTTAGTTTGTTTGTTTGTTTGTTTGTTTTGAGACAGGGTTTTCCTGTAGCCCCAGCTGCCTTGTTCTTGCTATGTAGGCCAGGCTGGCCTCAATTTCACGGAGATCTTTCCTCTGTCTCCTGAGTACTAGGAATAAAGGCATGTGTCACCATGCTTGCCTCGTAATTATTTTGCTATAAATTTCTTTGCCTGCTTATTAAAATAGAATTTCCCATTTACCTTCTTGACATTGATTTTATTGTCTCTTGATTTTTGAGCTAGAAATATTTGTTCCCTTCCTGAACTTGGCTAGTAACATAAAGGAAATTGTTAGATAGCATAAAGGAAATTATAGGTAGCCTATTGAGTGCTTGCCTTTGAACCAAGCACTGTTTAAGGCTCTTCAAGTAAGTGAGCTCTGATTTTAACCACGTCATAGATTTGTTTAGTACTTTCTAGTAAGGATGATAAAGGCTGCCTAAGGATCACCCAGTGTAGTGAGTGGTAAGCCAGGATTTATACTGAGATTGAGTTGGATTTAAAGAGATAGGTATCTGGTAGGCTGAAGATATGGCTCAGTGATTAAGAGTACTGACTTGTGAAAGACCTGTGTACAGTTCCCAGCACCCATATGACAGCTAGCAACTCTCCAGAACTCCATTTCTAGGGGATCTGATGCCCTCTTCTGGCCTCTGTCAGCATTGCATGACATGGGTGTACTTCTATACATGCAGGCAGAACACTCATACATACTATAAAAAACAAAACAAAACCAAAAAAACCCCAAAATACTAAATATAGGGTTTGGTGTCTACGGTCTATAATTTGGGTACAAGTTCATTAATAATTCATGTTAATATTAACTTTTGATAGTGATACTTACAATATATAATCTTTTAAAATCTAGTAGTTAATTAAGGTCTGGACTTTATTTAGTTTTAAATTTATATAAAGTCTCAGGACATCATAAAACTCCTTACCTCAGTTCTTATCTATTCAGTAGCAAGTAATGAAATTGTGAGTTTCTTTATCACTGACCATCAGGCGTTAAGGGCTGCGAATGGTTTCTGCTCTTTGTGTAACTCGCTGCTGTCTGTTATTGCAGCACTGGATACCAGTTTATTTACTATTCACCTGAAAACACAGCGAAAGCAAAAGAAGTTCTCAGCAACATCAATCAACTACAACCTCTTGTAGCAACTCATGCAGACCTCCTGCTTAATTCTGCAAGCCAGCATTCTCCAGACAGCTTGAAGAATTCTTTAAAGATGCTTTCAGAAAAAGTAAGATCCAAATGTTTACTCCACTGGGGAATATGAAATCCCCAATCCCCATGGCATCACCTTTTGCATACCTTTCATGACATCTGGAAATGCAAGTGACTAGGTTAAAAGTAAGCTTCAAAGCGTTGCCCATGATCAAGATGAATAGACTTCATTCTCTTTACAAATTTTATTATACCCTGTTTCCAGTAGAAAATGAAACCTGTTATTAGATGATATATGTTTCCTCTTTGCCATCTATTTTTCTTTTCTTTTTTCCTTCTTTCTTTCTGTTTCTTTTCCTTCTTTCCTTTCTCCCTTCCTTTCTCTCTGTCCTTCTTTCTTTTATTGGTTTATGGTATGATTTAATAAATGGTGTTAGGGTTTGAAGATTCTTTTCCTCTGGTAATCAACTAAATTTTATGCATGTATAGCTCTAGATTTGGATGGAGATACCACTTAATTTGAAGCAGAACTTTGATATGAATTCTCAAAAGTGGCAATGGAGAAATCCCTTTGTCTCCCTTTGCTTTCTATATTACCAAGCAGGAAAAGATTTTAAAAAGTACTCCAAGTATTAACTATTGCTTAAATCATGATAATTGAACCTAACTTTGGGTTTTTCCAAGCATGATTTGTCTTCTATATTTGTAGGAAGGAGATTTGTGGTCAGGCATGGAACAGCTGTTCAGTAAAACTTCTGTAGATAATTAAAATTACTGGTTGGCATAGAACCAAACCAGAAAGAGACAACTTAGAGAGGGACTTTAAACGTAAACCCAAGCATCTGAGAGTTTAATATCACCGAGCTCACCTGTGTACTCTACATCCACACTTAAAAAATACACTGTGAAAAACTGAAGAAAATGCTTCTGTAAAATTCTATAATAAATCAGCACTGGCTCTTTGCCTCTCTGAAGACAGCATTTGTAGACCCTGTATACCACGTACCCTATATTATTTATTCAGCTATGTTAATCACAGATAAGAATGCCTGTGCATACTTCACATTTTACTTTAAATTGTGCACCTTCTTATATTTTTCTCACAGGAGAAAGCTAACCATATAACTCTAAGCAATAAAAAAAATTGTACAATTCATATAGTTTAAAATTGAACTTATACTATTTGTTGGTCACTGTGTCTGATGAAAAGGACGCTTTATAAAATTGTAATAAAACCAGGACTGTTCTTCCCAAGACGTATCCTTGAGACTGATGATTTTGCTAGTGATGATGATGGCAAAGAAGAGTAGCATTTACCTGATGTTCAAACACGTGAGATAATATCCTCAAATCCACTGGGTAGCTACTGTCTTTCGCAGTGCTGAGTCTTGACTATCCAATGAAAAATTTTAGTATTCTCATTTTATACAGTTGAGTAAACAGAAGTATTAAATAATGCACTCACACTAGTCGTGTCCCTTACTCTAGATCCTTTGAGCTTACAGGCCACCAGAGATCTAATGGACATATGGGTACAGTGTTAGAAACAAGTGTGGTGGGCAGCATGAGAAAAATTATTCAGTAATGAATATTTGACACAGTTTCTTGTGCTAGAGTGCAAAAATTCATGTCAGTTAAATTGCATCTGAGTTTTGAAATTCAAATACATATATATACTGGAGATTGAACCTAGGGTCTCACACATACTAGGTAAGGACTCTTACTCATTGCTCAGCTATACACTCAGCCATTGTCTTAGGATGCATTCTGAAGTCATTATCCTGCTAAGCAAAAAGCATCATCAAGCACTTAATTGTGCATAGTATTGTGCATAGTATTGCACAGACACGGCCTTTAACTTTTACAGTCTCAAATTTTAAAGGAATGGGGATGTTTTCAATATCTCACTTATTAAATTTATAAAAAATTAAACATTAGAGGCTATGCTCAATCATAATTAAGAAATTGCAATTTCTAACATATCTTCAGTTTCAAGACTAGTATACATTCTATTGTGTTCAAACAAAAATGAAAACAGGTTTCTTTTATGCTTGGTAAAATTAAATATTGAGATTTTAAGAGAACTTTAGAATAACTGGCTTAGATTTAGTTGAAATTTCAGGATTTGAATTTATGTGTCTGATTTCCATAAGCTCCTTCAAATTGTAAATATTCTAATGTGAAATAATATACAATGATCACAAATTGTGTTTATTGTTAAATTGGTAAGTAGAAGGAATAAAGATAATGCTAGGTAATGATAACAATTGACCATTTAATATTTTTAACTTAGTATACAAAGTAATAAATGGATTTGGGTTTTCATATGGCATTTTCATACGTGTGCCCATGTACTTTGTTCTAATTTGTTATTGCCAATATATTACATGGCTTGTGACATTTGTAGATCATGAACAAATAGATCAGTGAAACAGAGTACAGAATCTAGAAATAAGGCTGCACAAGTTCAGATAGCATTATACCAAAATATAGAGGAAATT